CGAAAAGTTTGTTTTGCCAGAACAGCCACAGCTGCTTCACGTCCAGCACGATGTCAACGTAGAACAGGGCCTGGCCGTTCGCCATCGAAACTTCTCCCGGCAACGTGCTTGACTCATGTGTTCTAGATGGAATTGTGGGCTTGGCAAGTACCAGTCTCTGACTCAGTCGCTCTCTTTCTTCTCCAAAATACAGAAACCATATCTCCCTTCCACTCTCGAAGCACGGAACACTCAGGCTGAGGAGGACACCAAAGTCAGTAAGACAAGGTCGGCCCAGAACATCGCAGACTGCCCCGTCAGGCTTCTCACGGCGTCGAGGGTGCAGGTACAGCTCTGCTCATACTTGCACTCCACGATGTGGTCCACGCTGCCCTGGATGGTCCGCAGTCCGATGACCTGCCAAGACCGGCAGAAAGCTACAACTGCAAGCTACATGTGTGCTCAGCGGATTGGTTCGTGCCTCAGGTAGCATGGAGATATCAACGTTCTCGCCCTGCTTCTCCAGGCTCTGTAAGGCAGGAGGCATCCACTGCAGGTGGCCCGGAAACTCGATCGAGTTGGAGCGAATGTATCGGCGCGAAAGGGGCTCCAGTTGGAGCTTGCCCTGGACATCCAGAAGGATGTGGGGATCTCGAAGATCCGCGAAGCCCGTGGTTGGATCTGTGGCCTCAGCACGACAGGATCGCAAATTAGGGGTTCTCGTTTCTAGATCCTCCCGGGAGTCTGGATACTGAGAGGTCCTGATAGGTCCTGAGCCGCCGACTTCCCAATACCTGAAGCCGAGCACCCGCACGTCATCCGGCAAGGGCAGCGTGAAACGTTGGGTTGGCATCTTGCCCTCCTCGACGCCACCCGAACCTTCCAGTCCGTTTTCCAGCTGCACCACCTGGGGCACTGGGCCGAGACTCAGCTCCAGGCGTAGGAGCCGCATGAAGCTCCCTTGCAACGCATCATCAAGTTCGACTCCTCCGTGGTCGACTTGAAGCTGCTGTGGGCAGATCAGCGTCGCTTCGAGGCTCCGCTCCGGTCGCAACACTTGATACTTGTAGGCAGTCATGGCTCCGATCTTGCTCTCTGTGATCGCTGTTCGAGCCGAGGCCGCTAAGGCAGCAAAGGTAGGGATGGCGAGCCTTAAAGGAACCCTTTAAAGATCCTTTAAAGGACTCCCTTGTAGATGTGCCAGCGTTGCTCCGAAACTCCGAGGATCCTGAAACCCGAAATGGAGCCCTGTAGGACTTGCAGCTCTTTGGGCCCCTGGTAGCTGCTGCCGGCTGCAAAAACTCAATCTGAGCCCGGAACAAAGGGGCGCAGCAACTGACGACTCTCAAGCCTCTATATGTATATATGTGTGTGTGTGTATATATATATATGTGTATGTGTATATATATATGAAAACCGCTAATCATTCGAGGGCAACTCTCCGGAGAAGAAACAGGGAAGCCTCCACCCGAAACATCCGGAAGCCCGCTTTTGCTCCGAAGCTCCGAGGCCAGCACCCTTTTGGAGCCTGTGAAGTACCGACGAACCTCCCAAGGAGGGCTGTGCTTCAGAGCTCTCCGACGCCCCCGAAGCCCCAAGGACCACACCACTTTACAATCACAGGCTTGAAGCCTGACGCCTCCAACCCGAAAACCACAAACACCTTAGACAGTTGTCGCTTGCGTTTGCTTCGGAAGTGACGGAAAACCCTGCAAGATGGCAAGAGATGTACCCTATGACAGCACGGACAGATCGCGGCGGCGCCCTCCTAAACCACCTGCAAACCTCAGATCTGGAGCGATGACTCGGTGACTAAGAAGCTGGGCCTGAGTGGAGGGTCTCAGAAGCCAGCTCAGGATCTTCAGAAGCTACGGCGCTGATGCCTGGGCAAAGCAACATGAAAGCTGCTTGTGTAGTTTCTTGTTGACATCCACACACACACATGCATATATATATATGTATATACACACACAGACACACACACACACACATCCTTGCAAAACCCAAAACCCGATCTGCGCCCGCAAAAAGAAGCGCGCCTGGCGGGCCCGCTCCAGGTCTTCATGTCGGGGCCTGGGGAGAAACAAATTTTACTAGAGAATCTACTCTCAGGTTCCTGTGAGGCGTGTTTCTTCACATGGACGCGAGCCTGTGCTCTCTCTCGATCTCTCTCCCTCTACTTTATAAAAGTATTGTGCACTTAAGCGCATTTTTTTGATTCATACCCGAAACCTATACCCGTTGCAAGCAAAGCTCGATCCACTCTCAACGCCTCACAGCCCTAAACCGTAAGGACTTGGGGCTTGTACCCAACATGAGAGGCATCGTCCCAACCTGTACCTTCCTTAATTCAGCAATTCAACGAATCATATGGAAGCTGCCCTCCAGCAGCTCGGGAAGCACCTTCTGTGAGAACACCGACCTGCTGAAGCGACGCGCCTCCTCAAGCAGTGCTGTTCGGGTTTGGGCTTAGGGCTTAGAGTTTAGATTTCTCGCGTTTAGAGCTAAGGGTGGGGGATTGCGTGCCAAGCTTCCGAACAATCTGTGTCGCGGCGTGGATACGTAGTGCAACGTTGGAATAACCCGAAACTTACCTACTTGCAGAAGGCACCCACCGCTCATCTGACAGTTGATCTGAACGCTTGCAGACCACTAATCAGGGAGCTCACTCTCAACAACCCTGAACAAGCCGAGGCAGCCTTAGGCACTGCCACTGCATAAGACAACACTGCCGACAGACCTGCGGCCTCCTGAAGCTCTGTGAATGGGAGTACTGTTCCTGGATAAGGAGAAAACTTAATGACCGGCAAAGCCACCAGTTAAACTCCGAAATCTCAGCCACTCCAACCTCCAAGCAGATCAGTCTTGGGATGTTTAGGTAAAGCCCCAAGCCTAAACCATAAACTTAAGATTTGCCCCGCGACCTCCTGCTGCTGGCATTCCAGGTTTTTTTCTGCAGCCACCTCGGCGTCACATCGGCTTTTCGTGCTGAAGCTTTTCGTGCTGAAGCCGAGAGGTTAAGTCGGTTGGGGTAAGTCACCGTCAAAGCTTCAAGCAGCTAGTCTCCACAACATACGATAGTTCCCAGAATTACCCTAAACCCTAAACCCTACTTCGGCTTCAGCTTTGGGCTTTGGCTTTCGGCTTCGCTGTTGGCGGCCATGCCAGAACACCACGTACTCCGCAGAACCACATTTAGTGATCGACGAAAGCTGCTTGGGGCTCCGAAATATGATTATGGTACAATGTACCCGCGCATTTCCTACCATGATTAATCCTTGTGGTTCCTTGATATGATTTTGGTATGATATACCCGAAACCGTATTCTGATTATTCAGGCCCCCCATTTTGCATACGAGCCTCTGCCTCTTTGAGAGCCCTTGGCACTCACGGCGCTTTACGGGTCGAAGTAGCTAATACAGGGCCCTTAACAATAAGAACAGTATAGGGTTTCGGGGCACATTGTAGCATGGCTTCCGACCCCCACATTTAGAGTTGGCTCGACGTCGCGTTTAAGACCTGCTTGAGCCTACAAGTTTGCCACCATGCAACCTTGAGCCAAACCGGACCAGGCCCAAACGCTAGAAATCCAGGCGCCCGAGCCAGCAGCCTGGCAAGATGCCTGGTGTCGGCAGCCAAGCTGTCGTCGTTCACATGAGCCTGAGAGACCCCAGATCTGATTCCGCCTTTAGGGTTTAGGACAGTCTCGGATTTAGGGTATCCCTCAGAAGACTGCAACAACTCCGGATATGAACGAGCTGAACTGCCTCAAAACTCAAGTCATCGAGCTCCGTGCTGCTTTCTGTACGTTTCAACCTGAGCACGGGCCCTAGTAAACAATTCCGCCCTAAGGTCTCATTACTGTCATGTAGACAGATGACCTGCAGCTCGAAGCCGCAAGAAGTGTTCAGAGGAAGACGGGTTTAGGCTGGTTTTTGTGAAGTGCAATGGCTCTTCCTCCACTTGCAGAGGCTTCGGGGTTAAGGGCTTCTGCTCTAAACCCGAAACCCTAAACCCCCTAAACCGCCTAAACCCCCAAACCCTCTCCCACTTCCGCCCTCACACGCCTAGGCCGATGCCGAGCGCTGGAGGCCCCGAGGCCCCGGGGGAACCCAAACTGTGTAGCATTTTTCGTGCAGTTTCGGGTTTCAAGCAGGGGTTGAGGGATTTCTTGTGTTTTGTAAGTGCTTTGGATTTTTGGGTTTTGAGGAGAAAGGTGTAGAGTGTAGGGGTTTAGGGATATTTTCGCGTTTAGGGTTTAGGGTTTAAGGTTTAAGGTTTAAGGTTTAGGGTTTGGTTTAGGGCGTTCATGTACCTGGGGTCTGGAGGCATGCTGCATGGTTGCCCCTCAGCCTGAACCCCCAGTGCTGGCGCGCCTGAGGCAAAGCCTGCCCTGCGATCTCCCAGTTTTCAGCTCTCACAGCCTGCGGACTTCGCAGTGGGTGTAGGGTGCAGAGCTTGGGAGATCTGGGAGGCGAAACAACGAAGCCGCAGCAATTGAAGCTTTCTTATAAAGGTTCGGGGTGCGTACGCCGAATTACAAACTAACCTCAAACAACTTCTAGTGGTCTTATATCGCAGGTTAAGTACGCCATTACAGTACACCGAACCTCCAAGTAAGGACGCGAGCGACTGAAATAACCCCCGGGAACCCGCGACATCGCTCCCCCGCCTTTAAGCCCTGGAGCCGCTCCATG